TGCCAGGATGGATTCCCTTGGTTTCCATCCTGCTTCCCATCCTCAATTGATAATCTTGGTGTTAAATCTCTTCTCTCTTGTTGAAGCATGAATATGAAGACTTCTTTTGAAGATGGCTTGGACTTGAAGTTTCTTGCAGACTGTCTGTTTGTTTTGCTGTTTATCTGCTTTGCTGTTGAGATGTTTGTCTGCTATCCTGTCTGCTGTTTTTTCTAATTGCTTGACTGTTGCTTGTGTGACTGTTTGGTGTGTTGCATTAGACTAGGCCTTATGTAGTTGATTTTAGGCCTAAGAACATCCTAAAGGTTGAGTTTCTCCCTTTGCTTGTCTGCATTAGAGGTTGAGTCTGTCTCCCTCTGCTTGACTGTTATTGCTTGGCTTTGCTTGCTGGCTTAAGGTTGAGTCTGTCTCTCTTGCCTGTGATTTGTGTGTTGCCTTTGGGCTTGCTTGTTCTAGAAGTTGAGCTTGGCTCCTTCTGCTTGTTTGTTGCATTGCATGCATTTTATTTACAGTTGTTTCTTTACAGTTTATTTCTTTTGCAGTTGTTTTCCTTTGCCATGTTCCCCTAGGAACTCTGACTTCTATTGTTCAAGAGAAGTTATGACAGACATTAGGGTTCTAACCATGCATGATAACATTAGGTAGTTCCCTCCTAACCTCAACCATAGGATCAATTCTGCATGACAACTTTAGGATTGGATCAGTTCCCCTTTAGTGCGTCTTTTCTCTTCTCATCTTCAAACAAATCAAGATACAGTAATAAAGGTTAATTGATGTCATACGCTACGAGCCTTAAGCTACTTGAGAAAGGGTTGTTGGAGAGTTTCTTTTCAACAGTCTGGATGTTTAGTATGGCACCCTTTGGGTGACATGTGACGCATTCACTCTCAGGTCATAGTCTCTAGTGCGATATCAGTTGCAAACATCCATAAAAGATACTTCTTCTAAAAAAACAGAAAGCAAAGATCAAACATCTCTTTGTCCTCTTGGACCTTTAATCCCTGAAAACCCTTTTCAGAAGGAGAGTTTTGTTAACTCCCGGTTCTACCGCAAACAGTAAACGCCTAAGTCTCCGTCGAGCGAGCTGCATGCACCAAACTGCTGGAACCGTCTGTTAACCCTACTCGGGTTTAAAACAGTTGAACAAACCTGTGTCTATTGTTTCCTGAACTACGTTTTCTCTGATCTTTCACGCCGTGTGAAAGTACGTAGGCACGAGATGCGATATCTCGGCGAACAACCTCCCCCCCGTAACCCGTAGTTAGACGAACTACGTTGACTCTGATTTCTCGTTCCAGACGAGAATACGTAGGCATATAACTGTTGTGTTCTGCCGAGTCATTTTCTTTTCTTTTCAGACCATCCTTTTAGCGTAGATAGATGTAATCAACCCGTCAGATAAACACAACAAGCGTGGATCCCATCGAGTACGATGGACGTGAGGGGTGCTAATACCTTCACCTTACGTAACCGACTCCCGAATCCAGACATTGGTTGCGATGACCTTGTTGTTAGAACACAGATTGGTTCTTAATAATAACTCTTTGTTTTGATGATAACTGTTAGGAAATTTTATATTTAAGAATTATATACTCTAAATTTTGTTTGAGAGTTTTACTGCAGATTGAAATGAAATTAACTCTCTAGAAGCAAATCTGAATTGTATACAAGAAGTTATCCTAACTCTGAAGCGCCAGATGCACTCATTAGAAGATTCTGATTGCTCTTTACAGAAGATCCTAAGCGTAGTCTCCAGAAGCATCTGAAGCAGAAGCATCTGAAGCTGAAGCATCTGAAGCTGAAGCATCTGAAGCAAAGAAGAATATTGTTTGAAGAGTTTCTCAAAGTATAGTTTCTACAGAAGTTTCTGAAAGTACTAACGCTGCCAAGTACTGAAGTTCTGTGTCAAATATGCTCTGATGATCAACACGCTGAAAGCACACATGCTGCAGAAGACTCTGATACAACAAAGTTCTAAACATCATTAGAAGACTCTGACTCATTCAGATTCTGAAGAACTTGCTGAAAACTGAAGAAGAAATATTCAAAGATTATATCCGTTGGAGTAAATCAACGTCTCTTTCCTCATTTGTGCTAGACACAATAACACAGACAAAAAGAATTTTTCTGTGCTATCTACTTCTAGGAAAGGTCACTTGATGTGAAGACAAAAAGGCTCAGACCTTTTTGGGACTCTCTTTTCAATGCTCAGCTTCCTTGGATCAGCTGCCTATAAAAGGAGGACTCCACCAAATTCTTCAGTGACACAATTTGCTGAAAAGAATTCATATTATTCAAAGCTCTCATTCTTTCATATTCTTCTTAGAATTTCTTGTACTTAAACTTAAGAGAAAAATCACTGTTGTGATAAAAGCTTTATAGAAGCATTAATACTCTTGTATTTAATTTACATTGATTGTAAAGGTTTTCCTTAAGAGGATTCAGTTGGAATCAGTAGCTCTTGAGAAGACTAAGAACAGTTGTTCTTAGGTGTTACTATTGTAATCTGTTTGATTAAATAGTGGATTAAGTCCTTGTTGAGAAAGGCAAATCACTCTAAGAAGGGTGGACTGGAGTAGTTGTTTTAAACGAACCAGGATAAAAATAATTGTGTTATTATTTTTTAAGTCTTAATCTTTCATACTTATTCAACCCCCCTTCTAAGTATTATCTCACCTTCAGTTGGCATCAGAGCTCCGGTTCTGTGTGTGCTACCACTTAACAGTGTCAGTAAAGATCCAGAGAGAAATACTTTGATATGTATTTATTTGTTACAATGGCTGATAATTCAACATCCAATATTAACAATAAATATGAAGAAAGGGACAGGATCAACACCAAACCCCCTATGTTTGATGGGGAGAAATTTGACTACTGGAAAGACAGAATTGAGAGTTTTTTCCTAGGATATGATGCTGATCTATGGGATCTAGTCATAGATGGATATGTCCATCCCACAGATGGGAATGGAAAGAAGATTGACAGAAAATCTATGACAGATGCTCAGAAGAAAGATTAAATCATCACAAAGCCAGAACTATATTATTGAATGCTATTTCACATACTGAGTATGAAAAAATTACAAACAGGGAAACTGCTTTTGATATGTTTGAATCCCTAAAAATGACTCATGAGGGAAATTCTCAAGTTAAGGAGACAAAAGCTCTGGCTCTGATCCAGAAGTATGAGGCCTTCAAAATGGAAGACTCTGAATATGTTGAAGCCATGTTCTCCAGATTTCAGATACTCACAGCTGGGCTGAAAGTTCTGGACAAGGGGTACTCTGCATCAGATCATGTAAAGAAAATCATCAGAAGTCTGCCTACCAGATGGAGACCAATGGTGACTGCCTTGAAGATGGCTAAAGATCTGAACAAGATCTCTCTAGAAGAACTCATCAGCTCACTGAGGAGCCATGAGATTGAGCTTGAGGAAGATGAACCTCAGAAGAAAGAAAAAGGTAAATCTGTTGCATTAAAATCTAACAAAACTGCTAAAGCTTTGCAGGTCATTCAAGAAAGCTCTGAAGAATCTTCTTCTGAAGAAGAAGATGAGTTATCCATGCTGTCCAGAAGGATCAACAGACTCTGGAAGCACAAGGGAAAGAAGTTCAACAACTTTAGAAGATCTGATAATAGAAAGGAATCTTCTGGGCACAGAAGATCTGGCAAGAAAGAAGTTGTGTGCTATGAGTGCAAAGAACCAGGGCACTACAAGAATGATTGCCCCAAACTTCAGAAAGAAAAACCCAAGAAGAAGTTTAACAAAAAGAAGAAGGTTCTGATGGCAACATGGGATGACTCAGATGAATCTGAATCATCTTCTAAATCAGAAGAAGAATGTGCTAATGTTGCACTAATGGCCAGCACAGAGGATCAAGAGGAAGGTACCTCAGGATATGAATCAGATTCTGAATCTGATGATGATGCAGAAGAGGTAATGGCTAAACTTACCAAAGAAGAACTTACAAGAGTTTTAACAGAAGTTCTTAAAAGTTATAACAATATCAAACTCAAATACAAGAAGCTGAAAAGCAATCTTGAATCTGAGATTGATCTTCTGAAAATAGAACTTGTTGAGCAAAAAGAAATAACACTAGTGGAAAAAAGGCTTTTTAAGTCGGTTAAAAATAACTTTTTAAGTCGGGTCTGAGCCCGACCTAAGAATTACCGTCATAAGAAGTTTTGACTTCTTAAGTCGGTTGTGGACCTGACTTAAGAAACAACTTCTTAGGTCGGTTAGACAAAACCCGACTTAATAAGTCTAGCCTGCAGAAACCATTTATACCCGACCTAAGAACTTACTTCTTAAGTCGGGTATAATTAACCGACCTAAGAAGTTTTTTTTTTTTTTTGGATAATACTTTTTTTAATATATATACATATATATATATATATATATATATATATATATATATATATATATATATATATATATATATATATATATATATATATATATATATATATATATATATATATATATATATATATATATATATATATATATATATATATATATATATATATATATATATATATATATATATATATATATATATATATATATATATATATATATATATATATATATATATATATATATATATATATATATATATATATATATATATATATATATATATATATATATATATATATATATATATATATATATATATATATATATTAAAGAATCGATTAGCAATCAAAATATTTTAAAGATTGGAAGATTGGAAGTTCATAACAATGTAAAGCCAGTATTGCTAAATTTGGTTTATTAACCAAATTAACAGTTTTTACAAATTGCAAGTTGTATCCGAAATTTACAGTTTGGAAACGCGACTCAATTATGAAAATTTCTAAAGCTAAGTTGTTACATGAGGAACAAGCCATTACGTAAATCCTACGAAATCCATAGAAACACAAGCGACCATTTGTTTGAATAGACTTTTCGCATTGAAGCTGTCCCAAGGACTCCGTCGAGCGAAATACATGTTGCTATGGTGCTTGGTATATCTCGCGGTAATCACCTACATTTGAACAAACAATGAAGATTCAGTAACTATGGTGCTTGGTATATCTCGCGGTAATCACCTACATTTGAACAAACAATGAAGATTCAGTAACAGCTGACGGCAGACGATATCAGAATGCCAAACCAATTGCAAGAATAAAAATCAATGGCAATTGTTTTCTCACTTATTCATGACAGGAATCATTTGCTTACCGCCAAATTTCAGAACATAACAATTGTTGGAGGCTTGAGAATTTAGGTTTGCATCCTGTTTCCAGAATAAACAATGTTTATAATCTGTGCCAAAATGTGATCTTAATGAATGTATAAAAATAGCAATCCAATACTTACATCGTTATCAGTTTGGGCAGGCTGTGCCTTGATTGTTACCATAGCTGCAGCTAATTCTTCAGCCTATTTAAATATTACAAGCCGCACTAACGTCACAAATTAATATAGAGCACATTTTTTACTAATATGTCAAGAATGTATAGTCTCTGAAGTTACCTTTTCATCATCATTTACTTTAATAGAGGTGCAACCAGACACACAACACTTTCCCCATCCACGAGCTACAACAGCAGCATGAGATGTCATACTTCCTCTTGCTGTCAAGATGCCAACAGCTGAATGCATGCCTCCGACATCTTCTGGACTTGTCTCTGTCCTTACCTTTAATCATGCAAGCATCGCTTATAAATTATTCAACCCTCACATTTTCATTCAATACATGGTTGTTTTACTCATATATGATACTATAACTATATAATACAGTGAATGGAAAGAAAGAGATAGTAAAAAACAATACCAAGATGACACTCTTCCCTTGTGCATGCCATTCTTCGGCATCATCAGTATTGAACACAACCTGCCCAACCGCAGCTCCAGGGGAAGCAGGCAAGCCAGTGGCAACCACTTTGTCCTTGTATTTAGATGGATCCTTAAACTAAACAAGTAACAATAAACAAATCAATAACTCTTGAGCACCTTGCATTTGAAAATGAAAAGTTAACGGAAACAATATATACCTGTGGATGTAGAAGTTAGTTAAGATGTTGTGGCTCTACCATCTTGATTGCACGACGAGTATCAACAAGGCCGTTATTGACCATGTCCACAGCTATTTTGATCGCACCTTTACCAGTACGTTTTCCATCTTGATTGCACGACGAGTCAAGAACATAGAATTTGAAGAATGATGCACAACCAATGTTGCCAATAGTGTTATAGTGACACTATAGCTACTATTTGACAATATTTATAATAAATGGCTTATAGTGGAACAATGGTAATTTGTTCAAACTACGTAATGTTGTAGCTGTTATTTAACAACACTGTGCACCAATAAGTTAGACAACACAAGACAAGGTGAAGGGTAGATTTCTAACCTTTTTCTTAACAATCTGAACATCTTCATCACGGAGAACGTGACTAAGGCCGCAATGTTGTGGATAGTGCCTAGCACTTATACCCCACACCAGAACATACTTCACATCCTTCACCAAACTTCTATGTATGTGGTTGCAGAAATCCTCCACACTGCAGCCACCTCTATCCTAAAAACAATATGCAATAGATAGTGATGGATTGGAAGACTAAAGTTTAATTAAAGATGAAGAGATACACCAATTTCACACCAATTTACAATCATCATGGACCCCTGCATCTATAATATTATCACACCAATTTACTTAATCTTATTAGTCCTAATTTTTTACAACCCTGATAAAGATGAAGAGATACACCAATTTCACTATACTTCCCTCGATAATCAAATCAATTTATATTCAAGTCACTTTTAACTAGAATCAATTCTACAAAATCAATTCACTCATAATCAAATCTCTTTGAACCAATCACATCATCTTTTGTTAATCCAACATTATATGCCAATTACTGGAACAGTCAACAGGGAATCACAAGTTCTTATTTCACACGCTTAATTATCAGTGCTTCATCTTCTAAAAGAATAGGAGATCTTTTCACTTTTCCCACCTTGAGATCTTCCTAATTTCGTTCTTGCACAGCTTCAACATACCTAATATAGTCAAGAACCATCCGAGAGCCAACAATGAAATTGAAAAGCCAAGCCAGTGATTTATGCGCCCTCTGTGATCCTACAGTATTACAGAAAAAGTATAGATCAGCTGAGTCGGCTCTACTGCACAATCAAATAATGTAGTGCCAAAATAAGTTTATGGGGAGGGCGTGGCTACACCGCTGAGTTAAAATTTAAAATTAAAGAATTCATAAAATGAAAATTGCTAAAATTTTACAGGCATACAAGTTTCAGTTAAATCATTACATGATCTCACCTCTAAATGGGCAAGAATGTGACCATATTGGAGTCCAATGATGCATGAAACTGCAGTCTGCAGCTGTTATGGAGCTGAAAACAAATGAAAAGGTTTATAATTTATAAATTGTCTTTTGCTACGTGAACACAATTGACTTTTGGCTACGTGAACACAATTGACATTATCACTTCTCAAATTAATTAAATTATTAAATATCTCAATAATTTGAGAGAAATTCCTCATTTTGGTTCAAAGATATATGTGAAGCTGTGTCATATTAGCCAAAAACAAAACAAAAAAAGCTTGACAATGTCATGTGAAATTGAATACTTCACAGTTCAGTACAGACACATTCAAGTTTCTATAACAAACACTACCTTTTAAAAGGGTGAGCAAAGCAGATAGAATAGTAATGATTTGGAGAGGCAGTGAATTTCTTCCATTTAATTTTGACACTGACATAAAGCAAGTGGGGAAGCAAAGTAAATATGGTCACTAATGAAAGACCATAGCAGAAGAGATGATTGCAAAGTTGAACACAACAAGCCTATATTAGTAACTTAGGACAAAGAAAAATACACATAAAGTAGATAAAAGTCAATTAGTTATCACTTTATATTAATGATTTGAAAATAACATGACAAAGATTTCCAATTCTTGACTTTTATCTACATAATCACAATTGATATTCTAACTTCTCAAATTAATTAAATGGGGTATACATCACAGAAACTGTTGACTTATTAAATATCTCGATAATTTCAGACTAAATCCTTATTTTGGTTTGCTTAATATGTGCAAAGTGATGTCACTATAGTCCCCGGAGGCATTCGACGATAATGACCAAACTAACAAACAAAAGACACATTCGAGGTTCAAACTTACCGGACGATTTTTGACTTAAGTACATTCAACTACGACTACGACAAAGCCATTGACATATTCAAATACCAAAATGTCTGTTTACTCAATAATTTGATCATAGCTTGTCATCATTTACTAGCATAGCATGTAATTTTGTATTTGTTTCTAAAACGATTTGTGACTTCTGAACAAGAGAAGACCAACCTTTCTCAAATGATTTGCAGTTTGATTATACACACTCAAACCAACAAATTACATATTGTGTTTTAAAAATAAATAAATAAAGAAACAGGTTTTATGACTGAACTTGTAACAATCACATATAAAGCACCTCATAGTGGCTACTGGCCCGCCAACATCAATAAGCTCTGAACCGTCATAAGCTTCAATTAGAAACACACTAAACCTCTTCCCTCTCTCAAAAACATAAAAGATACCACAATGCTTAAGCAAAAGCCTCATCAACTTCTGAGGCATAACTAACTCCCAACGAAAGTGAGTGAGGTGATTTGTCACCAACCTCTTATCAACTGTAAAACTAAGCAATTCATGCATCATAGCAACAGCCCTTTTATCGAATTCTAAAGATCCGGGTTTTAAACCCTTTGCATCAGCATAAGGTGACAAATAAGATCTACCCTGAAACGGTTTTATCTTTTCTCCATAATAACTATGCACCCTTTTAAAATTTGAAGGAAATTTCAAAGGAAATGGTAAAGAAAGCAAACCCGGAGTATGCGAAGTTTCAGTTTCGGTTATCCCTTCCACCATCTTCATGTTCTTCTTCTCAATCTCTGTGATAGCCCATTCAGGGTTCCAAGAAACAAGCTCCAAAAACTCAACATCATCAAGAGAAGGCTTCACCACACGAAAAAGCTGAGGATACTGATTCACCCAACCAGTTCTAAAATCCATTGGCAACCCAAAATCTCTTCTAAAATGTGCAATTTTCTCCAACGGACGACCTTTATCAACTGACATCATAAGAAACCTAGTAACATATTCCGAAGCTTTATCCTCATTTTCCTCGACGACCCTTTTGTGTTCTTCCATCAAGTCTTCAGCTTTATACGTCAAACCGCACCAATCAAAATTCAATGAAGAAACTTAAACCCTAAACATTTCAATGAAGAAAATCAAAATTCATTACAACAATTATAATAATAACTGCAGTGAATTAGGTTAATAATCAAAGGGGAAGAGTTATCAATTCACCTCACAAATGACGCTTTCAGTGTTGTCTTTTTTGCGTTTCACTTCCACCACCTTATTGGACTCTTGTGGCGGTTCTTTGTGTATCACATTCACTGCCTCGGCAGAAACTTGCGGAAGTTGATTCGGTTTGTCGTCGTCGGTGGCGATGGAGATGAGGTAAGAGTCGATGATGGTTCTGACAAATAGTCTGCTCTGCTGTGTGAGTCGGAAAGGATATTGGATGTGTAGCCGGCGGAGGAGATGTGTGCGAGAGAAACCCATATCAATACATTTTCCATTGACTATCAATTTAGGGTTTATGATTATAGTTGTGGTGAGGATATTGTTGGATTTCTCATATAACATAAATTATACTAAAATTGTTTTATTTTACTAAAATGTATTAAGTAGGAATCGAACCGGAGTCTTGTAAGACTCTCTTAGGTCAGGTAATAAACACCTGACTTAATAAATAAATTTCTTAAGTCAGTTCAGTAAAAGAACTGACTTAAGAAATTTAGTGAAAATTATATATATTTTTTATTTAATCTTTGTAGGTCGGTTAAACATATACCCGACATAACAAAGTTTCAAATATTTACAGATTTGCCACCGTGTGGTTTCTTAAGTCAGGTTATTGATGAACTGACTTAAAAACCTCTGCTAAGAAGGTATTTTTCCACTAGTGTAAATCTGAAAATCAAAAATGACTTTGAAATAACTCAATAAGAATCTGAATCTGAGACTAAGTCATGTGAAAACATTTTAGAAAAATATGACTCTAGCTTTCAGAGATTTCTTACTAAGAGCATAGACAGAAGCAAGATGGCTTCCATGATCTATGGTGTTAGTGGAAACAACAGAAGAGGTATTGGATATGAATCTTCATCTGGAAGCATTCCAAAACCTGTGGACAAACTTTTTATCAAGAAGACACCTCTGTATTCTAAACTTAAATTTGGTCACTTAAATGATATTAAACACACAAGCTCTGAGAAGAATACTTATGTGTTTAAACCCAAGGCAAGTCAGAATAAACATTATGTTGAAAAACAGAAGTTTAGACAAACCTACAAACCAACTAACCCCAAAGGACCCAAGAAGATCTGGGTACCTAAAAACAAAATAATTCTTGTTGCAGATGTTCTTAGCAGCAAGGTCAGGACACCAATCATGGTACCTGGACTCTGGATGCTCACAACACATGACAGGAGAAAAGTCTATGTTCCAAAGCCTGAAACTTAGATCTGGAGGTGACGTGAAGTTTGGAGGGAACCAGAA